GGGAGACACAGAATCTGAAGCAGGCTCCAGGCTCTGAACTGTCTCAGCCTGACACGGGGCATGAACCCACGAACCACAAGATCATGACCTGAGCCAAAGTTGTACACTTAACCGACTGAGCCTCCCAGGCGCCCTGTGAAATTTTCTTCTCTTAGCCTGCAGTATTACTTTCACTACCTTTAGTTCTGCAAATGACCTTATTTCTTATTTTACAAGAAAGAGCGTCCTTAAACATATACTTATTTTACTTACAGTTCTCACTAACTTAATTTATTTTAGGTGTACAGGAAACAAAATGTGGTGTCATTTTTTTCTAACAATGATAGTAGTGAAAATTTAGAGACTGTTTAATTAATTTCAACTTATTTGTTTCTCTGGTTCTCTGTTACTCTCATGTTTAGCTAGCCAATATACTTGCCCCTCCCAACCTCCCTTTTCTTTCAGTCCTTATTGCCTAAGCCCTGATGTAGGCCTTGGATTCTTACAGGTTTCTAGAGGCTGACACTGCTTTCACACCTTCCTAACTCCTCCTTGCCCCCTTACCATATCCCACTTTGCACAGTGCTGTTTGAGTTAAAGCCGACTTGTAAGACTGTCATCCTAATTCTTAAATAATATTCATTGCCTCTGAGTTTAGTTTATTCACCAAATATTTATTGAGTACCTACTATGTGGTAGGCAATATTCTAGGTGGAAAAGAGCAGTGAACAAAAGACAGTCTTATTTCTCATTGAGCTTAGTTGGGGGGAAGCAGACAATGTAAACTATGTGGTTAGAAAGCAATAAATATCTTGGGGAAAAAATAATATGGGGAAGGTAGGTAGGATTGTGGGGTAGAGGAATTGGGGAGAGTCCAATTAAGGAAAGCCACTCTAAAACAGTAACACTTTAGCACAGATTTGAAGGAGGTGAGGCAAGTGAGGTGTGTGTTTATGTCTCGGGGGAGAATATTCTAGGCTGAAGGAGTAATCAGTATAGAGGCCCTGAATGTGAAAGCCTGCCAAATGTGGTCAAGAAGTAGCAGGAAGCTGCTGTTGTCACTAGAGATGAGTGAGCAATGGGAACAGCAGTAAAGTAGAGGACAGGAAAATAAGGAAGTATGTGTGGAGGCCTTTGCAGACCACTAAGAATAAATCTTAGTGAGATAGAGTGGAAGAGCTACAATCTAACTTCTGTTTTGTTGATATTAGATTAAAGGGTAAAGATGGAAGCAAGGAGACCATTTAGGAGGATATTGGCAATAATCTAGGTGAGAAGTGGTAGTGGTGGAGACTAGGGTTGTAGCAGTGAAGATGGTAAGAATTGATTAGATCCTGAATAAATTTTAAAGGTGGAAACATTAATATTTTTTTGGTGTATGTATATGTGTGAGAGAAAGATGGGGGTGGGAAATTAATGATGATTCTAAGGTTTTCAGCCTGAGCAATGTTAAGTGCACAATTTGACATAGTAGCCTGGAGTTAAAAGCAGAGGCCCAGCATATATATGAATTTGGGAGTCATCAGTGAGGAGTAGTATTGAACCTTCGGACTGGATGAAATCATCACGAGAGTGAGCTTACATTAAGAACAGTGATTGGAGGACTGAGCCCTGGGATCCTCCATTCCTTAAGTGAATGAGCCAGAAATGGAGAGCAAGAAGAGTAGTCTTTGAGGTAAGGTGAAAACCAGAAGAGTATAGTGTTTTAGAACCCAAGTAAAGCAGGCATTCGGAAGAAGGGAACATGATCCAACTATGTTAAATAGTGGTGCTAAGTCACGTAGAAAGGGAGGGATAAAATGATGACTGAAAATTGGCATTGGATTCAGCAACAAGGAGATTACTGATCTTGAAGAACAATTCTGCTCGAGCAGTGGTGATGAAATCCTACTGGAGTAAGTTTCAGAGAAAATGAGAAGAGACTGGTATTGGAGAATGTCAGTTTAGACGCCTCTTTGGAGGAATTTTACTGTTATAGGAGGCCAGAAAATATGGTGGTAATTAGTGCAGTTAGAAGGAGTTTTCTTTTTAACAATGGGAGAAATAACAGCAAGTTTGTGTACAGATTGAAATGCTCCCAAAGAGAGAGAAAAATTAATGGAGAGAGATAGGAAAATTGCTGAAGCACTGATTGTGATTAGGAAAAGCAGAATAGTATGTGTGTGTGTATGTGTGTATATATAATTATTATTTTATGTTTAGTAGGGTTTACCTTAAAAAGGAGCTTAGTTTAGTTGGAGAAGGGAAGGAAGAGCATATGGAATTAGATGATGTAGATGGGTGCATGTAGTGGTGCAAGCAAGGACATCAGCTGAGGGTGAAATGGAAGAGGGGTTTCAGAAATCAAAGAGAAGGACAGAAAAAATCAAGTATGGTACTTTGGAAAAGTGAATGGACTAGGCAAATATATTATTGCTGGGCCAATTGAATTTCTTGATGATGAATTTAATGTGAGAAACAAACACCACAGTTTTAGCCACATTCAGCAGTTTGGGTGCAGGCATGGAATGGATGGAAAGCTGGATTTAACCACGGTTGTGGCTTATTGAACAGATATGACTTGACACACTTTTTCATAAAGGGCCAGATAATAAATATTTTTGGTTTTGCAGGCTAAAGTCTCAGTTATAACTATTCAGCTCTGCCAGTGTAGCCCCAAAGCAGCCATAGACAATACGTACATGTATGAGCATTGCTTTGCTCCTTAAAACTTTATTTATAAAAACAGGCATCAGGCTTTTGCTGTTGTTTACTGACCCCTGTGTTAGAGAGTGAGGATAATGGTACACTGGAATTTAAGCTGGATATGGAGAGAAGAGAGGAGAAAACGGGAGTGAGCAATAACGCAAAGGTAATAGAGTCAGTGGCATACTCTCTCACTAAACTGTTTCCTGTGCTCCACTGTATTCATTGATCTCATCTTGTATACAGTTTTCTCTGTGCCTTAAGTGCTCCTCTCATACTCATTTTAGATGTCATCTCTTTTATACCTACACCCTTATTACTTCCTTTGCAGTGGCTACTGACATGGAAAATGTCAGTATTAACATGAAAAATTTTCAGTAACTGCTGAAAATGGAAAATTTTCACTTCATTTTGGTAGATAACATGATTTCAAATTGGGAAGATTGTGAAAGTTTCTTTACTTACAGATTTTCCCATTCAGTAGCCAGTTGTGGATTTGCATGTGATTCTCAACTTTGTTTTCTGCTTCATTTTATCTATCTGCTATTGTTCACATGAAGAGAGGAAGGGTAGCACTCTGTCCCTCTTTCCTACTTTGTACTTAGTTGGAATTGCCTTCTTTCTCTCCACTGATCTTGGATTTGTGTCTTTAGGCTGCTGAGAAAGGATGTTTAAACATATGACCTGCAATAAACTTGTGACTATGGTAACTCGCCTCCTTATAAGTTATTCTTTTTCTTTCAGTTACTTGTAGAAAACAGTGGTTATTCTACTAATTACAGACTATTAGACAACCATAGAACCTTGTAGAGGTTAGAGAAATTTTGAAGACCATCTAGCCCAATTTTTCATATTATAGTTAAGGAACAAAGCCTAGAGAGATTGACTTGCATACATTAGCACAGAGCGAGGGCTGGAAATCTTAGCTCCCAGTTCAGTACTCACTCTACTACGGTGACAGCTTTCCTTATAGGATATGAGGGTACTGGTTCTCAAACTAGAAAATATGAAATTTTGTGGGGCACTGGGGTGGTTCAGTCGGTTAAGCTTCCGACTCCTGATTTCGGCTCAGGTCACGATCTCTTGGTTCCTGAATTCAAGCCCCATGTTGGGCTCTGAGCTGACAGTGCATGGCCTGCTTAGGATTCTCTATCTCCCTCTCTCTCTCTGCCCCTCCCCTGCTCTCTTTCTCTGTCTCTCTGAAAAATAAATAAATAGACTTATTAAAAAAAAGATGAAATTTTGTGACAGGTGATATCCTCTTATAACTAAAATAATAGTTTAAATATAGTTAGGAATCTTAACAGTATTGAAATGGCTATGTTTTTTCCATGAAATTATTAGTAAAAAGGTAGACTTGCTTTTACTATTATAGTTACATTCTGAATTATTTTTGTATAATTAAAATTGAATGCATGAATCTTTTCTTAAAAATCCGAATAAGTAGGAAAAAATCTGAATAAGTGACTATATAGAGATTTTACTCTAATTTGAATACTTAAAAAACTAGTTTCTAAGTTTGTTTTTTCTGTTTGTTTGTTTTTAATAAACTCTTTCAGAAAGATGAAGTCTATCTTAATCTGGTGCTGGACTATGTTCCGGAAACAGTATACAGAGTTGCCAGACACTATAGTCGAGCCAAACAGACGCTCCCTGTGATCTATGTCAAGGTATGTAAGAATGGAACAACTTTCCACTTTAAAAAGTACTTACTATGAAGCAAGAAAAGTGCTGGATGTGTTTTAACTATATTATTGCATCTAATGCCAAGGGGGGAAGCTGCAAAGTAGGTATTGCTAGAGTTTTGTTAAATTCTTGTATACTTTTTAAAGTGTGAAACCTTCACCTTTTAAACTTTCATGACTCAGATATTAGAGATAACTTGTCATCTTTCTGACAAGGGAATTTTTCATAGACATTTATGCATTTTAATTTCGTTAGCCATAGCACCTTTTTATTTAATTTCTGATACCTTTATTATGCCATAGACCAAAATAGGAGCAAGCATATCATATAAAATTATAAAACATCTATATGTGATCAAATTAAATATTATATCACCATTTATAGATATGTTGTAACTGTAGCTAAAGTTTAAACTTTCTATAATTTTAAATACACACAGATATGCATATTAGGGTGTTACTTAAATTTTAGTACCTAATGTCATCTCATGGAGACACAGAGTGTCACAGACTGGCTAGGAATTTACCCAGCATAATTCTGATTAAAGTTGTGATCGCTAATTAGAAACATTTTTATTGTTATTATCATTATTATTATTAGGTTCAGAACTTTATTTATTTATTTTTAATAATAATTATAATAATTTTCTTTTCTTTTCTTTTCTTTTCTTTTCTTT